CGATTCATAAACAGTTGTATGGTATGATGGAGCGATAGCACAGCCTGAGTATTTAGCAACCCGTTCTCAGTCAAATTAGAACTGTACCTCTCAAGATTATGTACATACAGCATGTCTACTGTACAGACACACAAAACTAGAAACAAAAGAGAAAGAATATGCATGCTTTAGTGTCACCTCCCAGCAAAGTTGCCATCGAGTCATTTGCATATTCCCTTCAATAAATTCCCTTTATTCAAAAGAAAGAAAAAGAACACCAAACAGTCGCTACAGTTTGCAACCACCTTACCTTTCTGTAGACATCCCATGTTTCTTTAATTCTCCAGTAGCTTATTTAAATATGTATATCATAGTTTCTATCAATGCACTTACATATACGTGTTGCTGGAGTGCTCCTAATCAGTCTTTCCCATCAATAAATATCAGTTTTCTTGATGTGCAATGTGTGGATTAAACATATTAACCCAATAAAAACAAAGCTTCTGTATGCTGTCTTCACATTTTCAACAAAGTAAATAGAGAAATCCCTTATTTTTATGCATTGTCATAAACTTCCCAAAGCATAGATTACTTACTGGATACATGTGGCTCTGAGACATCTGCAACATGGCAAAAAACCTGACATTGACAAAAATTCAGTGATGTAATGATGATGCCACCAGCGAAAGTGGTGAACTGAGTAAGAGAAATACTGTGAGACAAATGGAAACAGACTGATTGACAGATAACCAACCAGCTTAATAGAGAATAGAAAAGACACACATATCAAAACACAAAGGCTCCAAAGTGAAGGCAAACTCTTTGACTGATGCTCGTTATCACATCATCAAAAAACTGCAAACAAAACATTCAAGTGAAGTCTCTGGACTTCCCCTTACTTATAAATACAATATAGTATAAATAACAGTACAAAAGATTGTAGTAAGTAAAAAAAAAAAAAAAAAAAAAGAACAGGAATGCAATGGAATCACAGCCTTGTGCTCGTGGATGTAGAGGTGTGTGGCTAAGGCCTCGCCACTGCCAGTGGTGACTGCACTACTAATGATCTGACTGCCAGATTAGCGAGTGAGACAATTATTTTACGCTTATCAAAGTCCTTCTTTAATTTGCTTTGGACGAGGTTCACATCAAATACAAATTAAACAGGAAATTCATGGATTTCTGTTACTTTTTTAGTGCCCCATCACCCCATTTTCATAATTTCTGTTGCTAGCAAACAAATCAAGCACCAGTTAGGTGACATCACATCACTTCAAACATCTAGCACAGTAGTCTTTCTGAAAATGTGCATTCAACTTTTCGCACATAACATCATGTGGGGAACAAAGAAGCATGAAATCTGACAGGTTGCTTCCAGTTGATGACAGTAAAAAGTTCAGCCATGGAAAACCCTCTTAACCTGTGAATGTGTGCCAAACACTCAGAGCTGATGGTCCTGTTCAGGGTCAGGGGATGGATCCTATCTCATCATGTCCTGTGCAGACAACTGGAATACGCCTATAAGTCATATACTGCAGGTTGCCAATCTCTCTCAGTAAAAAGTGTCAACTTGGATGACTTTATGAACCCCCTGCCCCGCACCCCCCAATAAAGTTCAAAAGCAAATTTTGCTACACCCAGTACCAACAATTTTAAAAATTGTCACTTTGTAAATCTACATTTGCTGGTTGCTCAGTTTAGGGAAAGATTGTCGTTGTGGTAAATAAATGAAGGTTTATGTGTGTTTGGGGTTAAGTAACTAACTGAAGACTGGGGATAGGGTTAATAAAAAGGAAGAACTACAAATCTGTGACAGGACGCAAACTCCAATCCCCTGTGCCAAAGTCTCATACACTAAGTAAGTACTCAACCACCACCTCAGCTTCTGCACCATTATTTTACATTAATGGCACTCTTCCTGTGTTGGCATTCAAGATAAATCAAAAGATGGACGAAGGGCACATTCAAATAACCATACTACTATACTATATGGTATGCTAGAAAAAGAATTTGCATGTCCAAATGCACAGTATGTCAAACGCAGTATGCCAAAATACCAGGATGTCCCACTACATCTGGTCACATTTTGCAGGACGCCATCCAGCAGTCTTTTCAGGTCATTCTGACCCATAGTCATCTGCACAGTGGAAGATATGCCACATTCAACAGGGTGTCGCACATGAGTATAAAAAGCTTGAGCTATTGGAGTTTTTAACCGTACAGCTCATTCAACAGTTGCGATGACAAGTACCTGCAGGTACACTCGGGAGGAGAAAAGATAATATATTCAGCTTTATACATTTTTAACATTTGGCTAATAGGTCTCAGGTTTCAGCACATGTTTATCGCTTCATGGTTGCATTTATACTTGTTTTTTCTTGAAATCAGACTGTTATCTGCCATGAAGATGCATGAAGTGAGAATGAGGTCTTCAGTAAACCTCACTGGTGTTTGGAGAGTGACATAAAACCCATGCAAACACTAGGAGACATTGTTTTCAAAAATAACTGAGGCAAATATCTGAACTCAAGACTTTTCTAATGTCAGACTGGAGCACTAACACCACAGACCATATATGAGGCAGAAAATAACTGAGGCACAGTTCCATTACTGGGCTAGAAATGTAGACAGGGGGCTGTGAATGTTGAGGATACACTGCAGTCAGCCACTGTCTGAAAGAACATGGTTGACTGTGGAACAGATTGGAGTAAAGGTCTTGAGTATTGCATATATTACACTGGTTTGTCCAAGGGCCTCTGTCCATGTCACAAGTTTATATCAGATGGGCCAGATTGGTTCAAGAAGCTGGAGTTGGAGATCTACATGCTGCTTTGCACCAGTCACAATGTTTGAGACAGTAAAGGTTCACGCACTCCGTTTACAGAGCAACACCATGGCAATGGTCCACAGTCAGAGAGAAGAAGTTCATCAGTGGAAGACATGAACAAGAGTGCGGACAGCTCTCATTCAAACAGCCGGACCAGAGAGGCTGACAGCTGAAGCACCACTCTGGCCAACAGGACTCATACAGAGCCCTCTTTGGCCAGCTGGAGAGTGTCCACATATGCATCTTGTGTCATCAAGGAATCATTAAGTGCTTGTTTGCTTTGTTGATCAGCCATAGTCTCCACAGAATAAAACCAAGAAGCCCTTGTGTTGGAATTGATGGCTACTTTTGCTTGTAGGAGATGTGACATCATTGTCTGTGACTCTGCAGAACAGAAAAACTTGAAGGAGCTGTCTGTAACATTGCTGTCCATTCAGAGGGAAGTGTATGTCCAGCTGCTGTCCTCCCTTTAGACTGAACTTCAGGGAGACACAGAATGGGAAGTTGCAGGTCCGGATGTGGGCCATCCTGGATAATTCCAATCCTTCTTGACTATCATTACTGGAATACAGAATTGTAGTTGTAGAGTCTGTACCTGCCCTTTATGTCAGTCTATTTAAAGGAGCGACTATCTTGATTTACTGTTTGCATTTGGACCAAAAGACAACTGTTTAGGAAGTATCATGCCACTGATCTTTCATGAGCTCCAGTGTACCAGATTACTCCTGTTTTTTAAGCAAATTCTCAGTTGTGAATTACTCTGCACGTCTATAGTCTCTGTTTAAAAACAGAAACTTCAATTCAATAATTAACTACTGAGAGTGTAAGAATGTGTGCAAATGGCTCCAATTCCTCTGGTAGATCATTCTATTCATCTTATCCAGATCCTCTGCAGTTCCTCAGGGATCTGTTTTGGGCCCAGTTTACTTTTCAGTTTATACAATTCTCCCTAGATTCATTGGATTGTCTGCAGACATTTTTTGTCACCACATGTAGCTGTTTCTTTCATGTCAATAAATTGTGATCCTGATAGCCTTGGCTCTCTTCTTAATCAGTGCAGAATTCCTTAACAGCCATGATTTCAACTTAAACCCAAATGATAAGCGCTCTCGTCTGTCTTCTGTTTCGTAAGAGTTCTGCAGTTCTGCATATTTTTGCCTTAAGTTCTTTGCTTGCATTGCTAAAGTGCTGTAGTAGTTTCATGTCTCAGGTCCTCAGACAGGATCCACCACAGTCCACATGAAGTACATATTGATCCTTGGACGCTCTCCATGACAAAAATCAGACATGATTGTTCCTTTGGCATGAGGGCTACTAAACTTTGCATCCAACTGATGAATGTTTTTAAAATCTGTGTTAAGCTTCCTTAAAGCCCCATTTCTAAATACATCTGAAGAGCAGCAAACCACCTGAGGATCTGTGAACCAAACTTTTCGGTCAAGGTTAAATTCACAAAAACATATGCATAATTTAGTAAGTCAAAATTTGTTATACTTGTTTTCAAGCTGTGACTCTCTAATTTGTCTTCTCAACTTTTCTGCTCCTTTCTACTCTTTCTCATTTGGTGAGTCATACTTACAGCTCTATTGTCTGTATGAGCACTGCTAGTAATACTTTCCTTTATTAATGCAATTCTTTTCCCTCTGATTTTGTTGTATTACTTTTTGTTTGTTTTCACAGCAATGACATTAATGTAGGTTTTGTCACTTAGTACATTATCGCTTATATCTTTTCTGTGTAATAAAGATGGATTTCAACGGTTTCTCAAGTACTTAGCTTTCATAATAATGTGTTAGATTAGAAATAAAATTCTTGCTTTCAGATCTATTACATTGATTTTTGTTTTCCTTACTTCTGTACATTGCTCTTTACTGTTTGACTGGATTTTCCGTTACTGTAAGAACTTTCATCACTGGACGGATGATGCATTTTGGTACATGTAAGAAATGCTCTTGATTTCATTGTCCATACCCATTCTTATACAGAAATATTGTTTTAGAAAGCCAGTGTAGGGTTTTCACATTCCCCACTACTCTCCCATTAATATAAAAATAACTGTAGTCCTGCTGTGGTGTCCTAAGTGCTGGGTGCAGTCATAAAGATCCTCCTAGCTAAGAGAGAGACTCTAACACACAGAACCAGAACAGTGACATACATACATCCACATGACCAAAAACTTTGTCCAGGACAATTCAGAAATCTTTACGACATGTTAAGCCTACAGAGGCTGCTTTCCTTTCATATTGTGACCCAGTCAATGTTAGATAGAGAGGGATGCAGTGTTTGATTTGTCTGTTTTGTCTGTCTCACTCCAGGCCGAACGTGCTCGTTTCCTCGACAGCGATCAGCAGTTTCTCATACAGCATGGTGTATGAAGGGTATGGAGGCAGATCAAGGCGGTTAAAACAGGTATGAGCCCTGTGAGAGAGACAAAGAGAGAGACAGACAGGTGTGATACGAGTATGGCAAGTCAGTTTTTCTTCCACTTTGACAAACAGTAGGAAGATCAAGGACCCTGCGCAATGATTTTTCTGTCTTGGAGATATACACACACATTTTTTGTCACGAATACAACCAATTCCTTTAATACTGTGGTTTAAGGAGCTGGAATGATGCTATAACATCAGCTTTACTGTAACTGTAATAATTATTCTGGGAAAAACATTTTGTCTGCTGCTACTAGCCATGGATATACAAAGCAGAACTAAACACAGGAGTACAAGAAGGCATCTCAATTATTTAAGTGAAAGCTCACAGTTTATAAAATTTTCTCCACTACAGTTTTTCTTACTTGCTTTGGTACATTTCTCAGATCAGAATTGAAATTCCCAAAACCACTTGTTCGATCTTCACATCATAGTGTCGCTTGTGTACATAAAAAAAAAAATCCGTTTTTCATTTATTTGAACAAGTTCTAAATGCTTTGGTACATCCATGCACATGACTACATACAATTATCTGCTGTTTCCTACATCATCAATTGCTTATGTCATGTTGACCAAAATGTATTATAATGGGTCTCTGTTGAATAGTCTCACCCCCCACAAGATTTAGGCATTAGTTCATCGCATAAGTCTTTACATGCAAAATGGTTGAACGAGTTGTCATAATATGTCTAGCATAGTTCTATACATTTCCATTAGACTTTTTTTTTCTAAATCTGTCCTAAATTGGTAAGCTGCTCCCATGTGAATCTTGAGTTTCTCTAATAAAGCAAAGTGTGTGTAGCATTACATAGATCAACCAATGATAGACCAGTTTTCTGAAATAGCTCAAAGGTGCATCTTATGAATCATCAACTGGCAGGTATAGAGGAAGACTGCACTGTAATTCCTACAGCACTGCATGTACAATTTTCCCTAAGGAGGCTGTCCTACGTTCACATTTCTACTCTTGTTTTTTTGATTTTTTTTGTGCTATGCAGTGCTGTCTATTCCTTTCTGTATCGCAATGACATGGTCTGTCAATAAATTACAGTACAAACAGTGAAAGCCTAAATGTGAATCTTGTCCAGTCTCTTGCAATCAATTTCCCACATACACTAAGGTGCAACTCACAATTTACAATAATTGTCATCAAAACTTCTGTCATCCTTTACATCGGAACATCCCTCCAGAGTACACGTTATATTGACAACATGACTAAGCAATTTGACTGTCTTACTTGTCATTCTGATGGCACTGACATGTTCATTGACACAGACATTTAGTTTTGAGAGATGAACTAAGGATGTTGAGCAAGTAACTGCCTTTTGCAGGTAATCCATGGTGTTGTGCTATTTGTATGAATTGTTTTGAGAAATGCACTTACTGTTTCACAAATGTTGAAAATGATTCAAGAAATGTACCAAAGAAACTGAGAAAAACTGTAATTGCTCAGATGTTCTGCACACTTTTTACAATTTTGGGCTCATAAATGCTTGCTCACTGGCATTCTTCTAAGTTGCACTGGTATAGATCAGGGCTGCACAATGTTGGAAAAATTTGAGACTGTGATTTTTTTTTTTCTGTAACTTGTATTTCAATATGAAACACTACAGGATCTTTTACCCGATGACTTGCATAACTGTATTTAGAAAAAAACGAATCATTCTTGTTCTGCTTCTCCTAGAGTGTGACTCAGTTTGTGGTTAAGTGAGTGAAGTGCCACCTACTGGCCTTGTTCGTGTATAGCTCAGGTGTTCAATAAAGTTATCAGGTTTGAATGTTGAAGCTATCCTGCAACCTAGATGCATCTGTTTCACGGTGCTCTGCAGAAGCAGAATCTGTAAGTTTATTTAACTTTATTTGATTGTAGGAGATATTTCTATTATTTTTTTTGTATCATTTAACTGTTAGAACAAAAAACTATTCTGGAAATGTCTGTTTAGACTTATTTGATTTATGGTGTCTATATTTGTGTTGACATGCATTGTGCATTATGTTTTAGGCTATTTGTACAGTAGCTGTATACTGCGAGTTATTTTGTATTTCTTTTTGTACAGTTTTTCACGGCTTCCATTAAAAACACCTGAAGTCAGCTCCAGTTTCGGGTTCTTTATGGGAGAGTGTTTAGGCCGCTGCATAGCTATGTACGCAAACGTGTAGTGAGGGCAGCAGAATTCTAGAATGATTGAGGTGCTTTTGCATGGCAGTGCATCTACATAGAAGATAAAAAGTTGCTTGAAAAAACCTGAAAAATGACATTTTACTTTGAAGGTTTTTTTTGAAGTGTTAACCATGTGGAACCTTTCTCATGTGACACAGCAATAGAGAAGACATCTGAAATGTTCTTTTGCTTTGTACATCTGGCTTTGCACTTGTTATACAAAGCTTTCTGGTGCTTATTGAAATGGTCAAATGAATTAGTCATGTTAACTCATATGGTGGCAACAATTCTAAGACACTGCTGATAGAACACCTGTGTTTGATTAACATCATTCTTTCTGTAGCTGAAACAATTTTATCCAACCGACTAGGGCTGTACGATTAAGGCTGAAATGATGACCATGTTTGATATTTAAACAAACTGAGCACTGCATCTACTTCCATGTTGTGCTACATTGCTGCTACTGTACGGGGGGTGAAGGCTATTTGGCCCACTGTGCATCACAGGATGTATATGGAGGCTGTAATAACATGGTTTGGGTACTATGCTGCTATCATTGCACTGGTCAGAGTGGTAGCCCTGGGGGCTTACTACAACAATGTCCTGTATAGAGATACCCCACTTACTTGAAGCTGGTTCCATTTTAAAGAAATGTATGTTTGCAACTGCACTACAAAGATAAAGGGTAAAACATAAGGAAGGGAGACTTATACAGTCAGGAAACTGACTGTGCAACGCACAGCAACATCTACCTACAGTTTGCAAACATCAGCCACCATAAGTTGCAGGTGACACCGGACCTAGTAAAGCTATAGGTGTACAGCTTCTCAATATACTGAACTGAACAAGTGTTATAGTTAAAATGCACAGAAATTCAGTCAGAGGAAAGAAATTCTTCCTTTATAAGTTCCATAGTTTCAGTTTACAGTACCTCAGCTGTGTCAGCACAACCACACACAGTCACACACAATAGTTCCAAACCTTGTGTTATCAGTAGACCTACAGTACAGCAATGAATGCTCAAGCTAAAGCGTCCACTATACAGAGCTAAACTCTGGCTCTTTTCCCTGCTCTGCAGTGAAAGCTGAGGCCTGCTCTCTGTTTCTGCTGAGCACGTTCACATTTTAGCTGCTGTTTACCAAAGTAGTGTCCTACTCTAAGGTCAGAGGAACACACCTTGTACAATTACTCATGTACCTGCACTGCAGAGGAGAGAAAATACTGAAATAGCTGTTCTGCTGAGCTGGTAATGAACAATGTCAAACAGTGACATGCGGTGAGGTTCATGGCTGGTGAGGCACTGACTTCATCAGAATCTGATTTACAAATATATGCACTCTACACAGTAGCATATTTGCCATTTGATTGGCAGCAGTTTACGGGTTATGTTTCATATCTGCATTCTTTATACATACAAGCTGTAGCCCACAAAACGCATATTTCTTTTTTTTTTTTCCAAGTTATTGCGGTCTTACCTTTACCTTTAAATGAAGTCCATGCTCCACTCCTTCTGGACAAAATATCCGTTACTTTTTTGTGAAAGTCTCCTGATCTTCCTTCGCTGCACTTGACTTGCTAACTGTATATCGTGCCTCGTCTAGCTTGCTGTCACTTACTCTGCAGCCACGGAGTCACAAGAAGCATGTCTGGGATCAGAGCGCCCCCTGCCATGAGGCAAGAGAACTGCCTGCCTCATCTAGAACCTCTTAGCCGTTTATGATCGCTCAGCACAGGAAACACGTTACACACATACAGTTGGTAACAAAAAACACTGTACATCATTATATACATCCTCTGAACTATGGAAAATCAGTTCATATATTAAATGTGTTTGAAACATGTTATTGCAGACATACAGACAACAGCACGCTGTCACTGCAGGCAGCCAGCAGGTAGCGAGGGATTGTGCAATCCAAGTGAGGCTGAGCTCGCTGCTGCCTCACTTGGATTGCACAATCCCTCACTTTGCTGGCTGCCATGCAGTGACAGCCTACGCATGGCCGCCTGCGCAGTCAGGGATTGCACAATACAAGTGAGGCACAGTTCGCCGCTGCCTCTCCGGCTTCTCTTCCAAGCATTCCATCTATCCATTATCTATACACCGCTTAATCCTCATTAGGGTCGTGGGGGGGCTGGAGCCTATCCCAGCTGACTTAGGGTGAAGGCAGGGGACACCCTGGACAGGTCGCCAGTCTATCGCAGGGCTACACTTAGAGACAGACAACCAAGCACACTCACATTCACACCTACGGACAATTTACAATCACCAGTTCACCTCAACATGTTTTTGGACTGTGTGGGAGGAAGCCGGAGAACCCGGAGAGAACCCATGCTGCACGGGCAGAACATGCCAACTCCACGCAGAAAGATCCCGGTGCCCCCACTCGGACATGAACCGGTGACCTTCTTGCTGCGAGGCAACAGTGCTAACCGCCACCTTGCAGCCCTCTTCCAAGCATTTGAATGGGAAATTGCGAAAATTTTGCGATTTTGAATTTAAAAATCGTCCAAACTGACAAGGCTAAATGAAAAAATAAATAATTTATAGTACAAATCACTGGATGAATATAACCATTTAAATTATTTTATCATCATATATTTTTTTCTTTCCGTGATGTCAGGTGAGGCTCTGCCTCACCTGCCTCCTCTGACTGCACGTCACTGATGCCAAAGCATTTGGACTGTGCAGTATATAGAGCTTCATGTTCCAGCAAATCAGAAATAATATCCGCTCAATCAAAATGCTGGTGCATGCTGGAGGTAGCTGACAGCTTTACAGTCTTACCAGTCACTTTGTCACTTTGGATGTCAAGGAAACAGCCTCAATGATGAGCGCCCTTTTCAGATGATATTGCTCCACAGTTTCATACAGTTTTCTAAAGTATTGCTTTGAATGCAAAAATACTTGAGACGACAAATTTTGTAATGTGAGTACTTATTGCTTGCAGCGATGTTCATTTCAATAGGTGTTATGTTTTAACTGAAAGTTGAACTGATGTGTGATCTATGCAACTTTACCTCCAAAACACTAAAAATTGCCAGTGGGGTTTGAAATATTGTCTTTAACAATAAAGAAAGATTACCAAAATGACAGTAGTGCTCCTCTGCCATCAAGAGCAACTTGGAGATGGGTGTCTTGCCTAAGGACCTTCGGCACATGCAGGGGCGGGGACTGAACCTCAAGACAACTTAGAGACAGTTATGGCCTAAATTTAAATCAAAATGTGGCTTAAATCAGAAGATAAGGTGCATTTGTTGAGGACTTTTTTCATTTGGTACTCTACGGAGTACACACATGCTGCACACTGCTGTGCTGTGTGTGACAGGTGGAGCATGCCTCCCTTGAACCTAAGGAACAAGATATGAGAGCTGAAGAGGATTACATACCTGGGTAGTGATGTGACTTTACCCCATTTCTCGATGCAGAAGCGTCGCAGGCCGTTAGATCCCCGCAGAGCGGCGAAGCCTTCATAGGGAACGCTGGACGTCCCTGTGACAAACTGCAGCAGACGGAGGCGCTGCTCATTGTTGAAGCGCTCCACAGCAGCCCAGAACCATCGCATCACTATGTGACCGTCATGGTAACCTAGTGTATGATCATTAGGGAGGCAATATGTCACATCTATTCAGTTTAAAGACTTGTGTACAGCTCTATTATAAATACATAGTGTATGGCGTTAAAATAATATATAATGTATAATAAATTGCAGCTACAAAGGCTCAGTATTTTAGCTATAAGACAAATACCAGCCTTCCTGACATGCATGACATTTTTAAACTACAGATCTACCTTTTTGTCAAGCTTTTAATGATTTTTATGTCTTTGCTATTAGTAATACAACTGCTAAACAAATAGTCTGATTGATTAAATAGAAAAATTAAAAAAAAAACTTCCACCCTAATTACTGATTAGTTCCAATAGCTACAAACCAGACAAGGTCAGGATTTTATGTAAAGACCTGATGGGACTTTAAAAATGCTGCTGTTGCAGGTCAGGATTCTGATAATATATTTGACATTTTTTGTATTTGTGGGATAATTAATGCCTTTATTCGAGACCTGACAGAAAGCTCTCAATATGTTGAGTGCACTTGTCACTTGATAAAAACATCTGGCATTTGAAGAAATACGCTGTACTTCCTTTAGGCTGAGAGTGAGACACCCAGATTCTCATCACTCGCCTGCCTGTACACCAAATGTGAAGCTACAGCTCGAGGTCATTTATGAAATTTAGTTTAGCCAAAAGACAAGTGTGCAGGTGTGCAAAAGTGTGTACGGTGTTCAGGGACAGTCGAACACGCACCTCCTCTGTACTCCGTGTTGCTTCTCCAGTCACCGAGGTCGATCTCTACTGTCCCTGCGATGACCAGCTCCAGCTCCCGCGCATCAAATACCGACACCAGCCGTGAGTCCACCACCTGGGATGGAGAGAAATACCAGCAAGTTCAGCTGCTTGTATTCACATTTTTATCAAGAGTGTGATGTGGTATCCTCAAAGCAGTGCAGTATAAATGAAGTAAATGACTTGAAAGAGCTGACAAATGTTTCATCGTGGATTCTAACTTTAGGCTTGTTATTTTATTGGGTTGCTCTACCTTTCTGCACCACTCTGCAGCTGGCTTCAGAACGACTCCAATCTTATTGCTGTATTCATACGCTGGAACCCAAACTGGTGTTTATGTTCCATTCCAAACAATCTACTACAAACAAATCAGTCATATTTACCTCATAGAAACCTCTAACCAGTGCCTCTGTCTGCTGCACCACTCCTCTCTCCACCCTCCACTTGGCCATTCGCTCTATATAATCCTTCTTGTTCTTTTCAGTCACCTGGAGGTTGGAGCCACCCGACTTCAGCTCCCGTTCTGTCACCTGGCAGCACAGTTAACAGTTTAAGTTATCAAAGCAGCACGCTGAAAGCTTGTTGTTGAGGGAATATATGTGGCTGAACATCATGTGTATTAGAAAGAAACAAAAACTAGATCTACACTCACAGTAGTTCATATGTGTCAGGGTTGCATTTTAAAACATCAGAATTTCACAAAATCAACTTCAGTTTTCTCATGTACTTGATGTACTGCAAATACAGACGTCTTGCAACATCATACTGTCTAGTATTATTTTCGATTCTCTTCAGAACTTAAAAGCATATTTTTTCTTACTTGAGAGGGTTTGATATGAAATGATAAGGGTTCACTCAACTTGTTAAAGTTTTTAAAGAAATAAATTATCATCCAACTTCCCAGTATGCATTACTGACTCCAAGACACGTTTTTGTAGCAGTGGAATACAAACAGAATGGAAACTTTGTCTTTAACACGAGAAGATACATCACGGCGCATTTGAACCCAGGGAAGCTTCTGATTGTTGCACATGCTGACCTGGCCAAAAACCTCCTCATTGACAGTGAAGGTGAGGTCCAGGATGTCGGTGATGTCGTTGTCTTTCATCCACTGCAGAGACTGGTGGAACTCCTCATCCAGGTACTCCAGATCAGACAGATCTGTTGGCCTATGAAATACACACAGCTTACACATACTGCCCACACAGTTACACAGTGTCAGTCTATCAATCAGTTCTGCAGTCTCATGGCAGCTTTCTTGAACATTAAAAACCGATGGAAAAATATTTCTGGAATTGAGAAAGTAAGAAAGAGATGCATCAGATGGCGACAAATTTGACAACGGAATCAAAGCGTTCAGATCCTATAAACTCAGGATGGATTAACAAATATGAAAAACTAATTTCATTTCAGGAAAATTATGCATACATCTTTAAGAGTGTCAATCTGTGACAAACTGAAAATCTGAACTGTTGGCATTAGTGCTGCAAGTACTAAAGACATAAATGAGACGTTGTACTTTTTAATTGCTTAATAAAAGAGTTTGTTCACTTTGTCTTAATTTTACCTGTCAGAGCAGACATTGTAAAGATACAATAATGTCCCTATATATACTGTATATGCATCCACTTCAATAGTTATTAACCTCTGACACAAAACTTGACAAGTAAACGACACAAAGTATTGTTCGTGTGCACTAACAGTCTGAGTAGGGCCTTGTAGAAGGGTCTGGTAAAGAAAGCATCCAGCAGGTACTGATGGATCAGAGCCAGGCCCAGAATACGACCACTGAAACGGAACCTGAAGGCACACACACACACACACACACACACACACACACACACACACACACACACACACACACNCACACACACACACACACACACACACACACACACACACACACACACTTGCATTGGAATTACTAAAGTAAAATTTTGACACTGACACATGAACAAGTAAAATCAGCAAACTGATCTTTGCTGGGATAGTGTACTTTAATCCGACCCCAACCAGTCAAGGCAGATGGCCGTGCTCCACGAGCCTGGTTCTATTCGAGGTATCATTCTATTAAAAGGGAGTTTTTTTTCTTCACGCTGTCACCAAATGCTGCATAAATGCAGTTGTTAGGATTTGTCGGGTTTCTCTCTATAATATAATATTGTAAGGTCTTCACCTTGCTATGCGGTGCTATGAGAGGATGCAGCGAGATTCATAGTAGTGTCAACATTACTTTTTTCTTTTTTTTAAATCTTTGTTTTAAAAGGGTGTGCAAGTAATAACAAGCTGACAAGGACATCCTGATCACAATATATGAGACAACAAAAACAGTATGTCAACAAACAGATTGAGAACTTCAACATAAATGCAACATTAATTCAAGAAAACACACTCACAGCTGTATATCAGTCAAAAGGGATTTAAAATGATTAAAAGATAATGGCCTCCCTAATTTAAGAAGCTTCTGCACATTGTTCCAGCAAAACAATTAAAAGCCAGTTTCACAGTCTCAGTATTAACACGATGATTTAAAGGATCAGATATTCTTGTGCCATAGTACAATGTGAAATTGATCTATAGTAAAAAAGACAATAAATATAACCAGGGAGCTTGAGATAAATTAAATGCAATGTCATTCTCTTCACACTGCCAACTGCCACCCCGCCTCTCAGTTATGGGGCTCAGAGGTTTTAGAGTAGAGGCAAGAACATGTACATATAACAACTCTGTTATACATACTATTTATTCATACAGCTTCCACTATTTTCATTCAGGTAACCCCCTGTGCAAATTATTTACATATTTATTTGAGTTTTAAAAAAGAGGGTTCACAGCTTTACAAAACCCAGTGGCAGAGTCACATTGAACTAGTCAGGGATTCAGTCTTGATTCTCCTTCACAATTGAGAAACAAAAATCCCAATAATATTCCCTTTTATTCTCTTTTATTATTCATTGTGCTATTATTTATTCATTAATGGTTATGTAATGCAACTGGTTTTAGAGGAGGCACCTGGAACCACACCCTTAGGAGAGCAGATGCATGAGCAGGTCGGCAGGGTTACAGGCTATCATCTATTCTTAACATCATGGGATACTGATGCTTGGACATTCATATCCCATGATGCTGATGTCATGGGATACATGATACACAACAGTCATTTACTGTAAAATCTGTTTGGTGTATTTTTTCTGTACTGAATGACTACAGACTTAACACATACATGCATACATGTTGGCATATGCTAGTACCTGATGTAACAACATTGTGCAGTGCGCAGCAGAGATCGAGCTGCAGAAAGTCATTTTATCAGAATGTGATAAAGAAAAAGTACAATAAAAACTTGTGGACACAGCTGGAGGGTTATGACTTCCAGTGTGTGCTCACATGTTCTAGTCACTGCGGTGATTGGTAGCTTCAACAAGTTTCATTAAACACTGATTAGTTACATGTCTGTTACACAGCTTACCATTCCAGATGGTTCTCAACAAATGCTGACATGGGGCTGATCTGAACGGTGTAGGTGTCATTGGCTGAGTACTCAAACAGACCGTAGTATGGATTAAACAGCTCCTGAGACAAGAGGAAGAAGAACTCTCTTGATGGACCACTGTAATCTAACCTAAAGAGACAAGAAGACAGAGACAGGGAACATGTGTACATATTTAGGTCCTTGTAAATTGGAATATTTTAACGGATAATATTGTCTTGGGGCTGCCAGGTGGCCTGATAACAGGGCAAGTCTAACAAAGAGACTGTCTCTTTGGAACTGAAAGGTGTAGAACTCTGATTCATGCTGTGACGTTAATGCTTAAACTTTACCATCTCTACCTCCATGTGTAAAATTTCTACCTCCAACTGTGATACTCTGATAAACCCAATTATGTGAAAATGTCTCTCCTGGCTTTTATCTCATCTTATATAACACTGCTATATTTTGTGCTTTTGTAACTGTGGTTGTGTTTCTGGATGAGAGCACATATGATGGAATTATTATGCATATCAGTATTTGGTGTTACTCAACGGCAGTTGTTTAGCCTGCACATGTTGTGGCTCAGTGTGTGGATTGATCTTATATATTGCAGGCCTGCAGTTAGCGGATGCAGTTTGTGTGCATCTTAGTATATACCTGTGTAGACATGGTAGCTTGCATGGGTGAGGGCATATCCAACCTGCTGTATGTATTTACACCTCTGTCTGAACTTCCCTGCTCACTACACGCAACATGATAAAAATAAACATACTGGCAATTGCAATCACAGTTCTGGGCTCTATAGACCTGAGAATGAATGGGATGCTGTATCGCTGTGTTTCACCACTGGCCGCCTGTTGTTTGAGTGAGTGTGTTTGTCTTACCCCTCCTCCCCCAGGAAGGTGACGTAGAGTTTGTTCCTCTGCAGCTCTTTGCGTGAATATGCCATCACTTGGTTAAAAGTTCCTTCCAGCAGATGTTCTCTTCTGATCAGCAACCTGTAATAACAGGATCAAATGCTACAGCTCATACTGGGAGTCTCCCCATCACTCCTCTGGGCAACAAAATGAACATTCATAAAAAATTTAAATTATTTGAATTTTAGGTATTCCAATCCTATTTTTTTGGTGGTGAATTCCTCTTACTTGAAGCTTAATTCCCAGTGTCCCCATGAACAAAGTACAGTGAACCAATATCTCTTTGGACAAATGTCAAAAATACTAAAGAAATATATAAAAAGCATTCTATAGATATAGATGATAATAAACACATATATGAGATCAGATTATGATGAATTGTGATCAGAGCATAAACTACATCTTAAATAAACACATCCTACAATCTAAAGGGAGTAAGAGTTGTTCAATTTATGTGATTTCTCCTCTTCTTACTTGATCTTGCCTGGTCCTTGACCATAACCTTTAGCTTCTAATTTTCGGTAGAAGTTTCGCAGCTTGGCCTCGAAGTCTCTGCGGTACGGAGCTGGGGCCCTGGCCCTCTGCAAGCCTGTAACGCACAGGACATATGTTTTTAACGAGAAGTTCAAATACTTTAATTCACAAGCTTTAAAAAAGAGAAAATAACCTAGTTTTGCCTGTTTTTTTCTAAAATGATGATGACATGACTGCCAGTGACCTGAGAATGGGAGGAAAGTTCTGAGTCAAACACTGTGACCAAGTAAGGACGTCATGCTTCACATTCAGAGTACTTCTATCGTGTGAGAGCATTTCTCCTCTCACCAAAGATCTACAAATGCAGGAAACTGACACCGGCATTTTTAACTTTTTACGTGTCAGTTCATGCTCTGACATCTCACTGACTGTAAATGTACTGATGCCTAGTGGACATCATCTAGTCTGGCCCTGGTTTTACAGCTGATGTATGTATGTTCTGAAACAGTGGCACTACTTTTTTTTCTTGTACAAAATTGCCAAACACTTACTATTAACATAAAAGTAACATAAAAGACACCTGAAAACTCTGGGTCAAAGAGTCTGTTTTGCACAAGCAAAGTGTCAGCTGTATTTTTCCAAGACACCTAGTGGCCTAATGGTTTAACATTTGACAATGCATTTATGATGTCCCTAGTTTGAGTCTACTCAGTGGCTTCTTGTTTTGTGTCATCTCAAGGCCTGCTTGAATGGATCTTTGTGGCTGACTGTTGTGGAGTAGTGCAGCTGAGCTCACTATATTTTTTACTGTTTTCCAGGTCAGGTTTCCACAAAGAAAATAGCACAACTAATGAATGAAGCACAATTACAAGCCAGGCTTCCCTGCTGTGACCTAATTTCCCTTTATAGACTCTCCCATCAATAATATGCATAACCCCCCCACACACACACACACACACACCTACACACACACACACACACACACACACACACACACACACACACACACTCGTGGCCTGCTTGAGGTCTGCTGGAGCTCATTAAGATAGCATTAGTGCACCCTTTCACAGCAGGTTCTGTCAAACAGCAATGATTGCTATTATGGGCTCTCTCTCTCTCTCTCTCTCTCTCTCTCTCTCTCTCTCTCT